TAAAGTGACTGATGCACGTTAAATCTGTCGAGTCGCAAAAGTCCTCCATGTTCCCATAACAAATCAATGCCACTGGGGGTACTGGATTGGAGATCGATCGTTCTCTGATTCAGGTCAAAATTACGATCTGTGGATGAATGAATGGATGTATGAATGGATCCGACCTATAAACGGGTGCGACGTATGGTGTGGCAGAAGTCGAATTCTTGACCATAGATGGCGCCACTGGAAAACAAGAACAATCGCACCCCATCTGCCTGAACAGGCATACGTCAACAACAACATTATTCCGTCTATCTTCCTAGATACCGGAATTATTTATTATTCCGTATGACTTTCAAGATTGCAATACTATTTATCAATCCATCAGAAGTACTAAAATTCAGCACTACTGTTTATTCCTTATGCTGTTCTAATGGTAGAACTATTTATTAATCCATCCGTCTTAATATATATAAGTATTTCTTATCATTCCACATGACTTAGCTAGATATATTACTATTTATCAATCCATCAAGGCTATAAGATATTAGCACTACTGATTATTACTACATATGACTTACGGTATGAATGTGCTATTTATTATTCCATCTGTCTTACTAGATACCAGCATTACGTACTACTTCATATGACTTCATAGATGGTAGCACTAACTTTCAGTTCATCAGAGTTATTAGATATCAGCACTACTGATTATTCCATATGACTAACGATCTGGTAGCATTATTTATTATTCCATCTGTCTCACTAGATGCCAGTATCACGTACTATTTCATATGACTTCATAGATGGTAGCTCTAACTTTCAGTTCATCAGAGTTAATAGATATCAGCACTACTGATTATTCCATATGACAAACGATCTGATAAAACTATTTATTATTCCATATGACTAACGATCTGATAACACTATTTATTATTCCACCTGTCTTACTAGATACCAGTACTACCCATTATTCCGCACTATTATTTCTACGACTTAAGAAAAGGTTGTACTATTTATCAATTTATTATCATTAAAAGTTTTTTTTTAAAAATTAAACAAGTGCAATAGGAGAAGCATTTTATAAGGCAACCGCCGCTTTTAGCTGAGAAGCATAACGTACGGTTTCTGGAAGACTGGAGATTTTATCTTTCACTATTGCTATATGCACTTCGTAAACTTTCTCAGATGACAAATAAACACAATTGTTTTAAAATAGTTTATTTTATTTTTATTTTTACTTTAATGTATTTATTAAATGTTTCATAATTATTTCTGTGATTAAATTTTTTTTCTACGCCATATTTGGTTTTAAATAAAATTTTAGATTTTCCTTTTGTATTTTTTGTTTTATGCATAACTTTTTCGGGACATCAATATGCTGTTCTGCATCAGAATCAATCGGCTTTGTATTAGATTAAATTGAGTGGAAGAAATATTACTTAATATCTAGAGACTTTATAAATAAAATATTAACTTTTAGATTTTTCAGAGAATTTTTTTGAAAATTATTAGTTCTATAATCAAATTTATTGCCTTAAATAGTAACTTACAGGAAATAAAACAGCAATTCAAAAAAAGTAGCACATGTTTTGCAATGGTTTGATAAAAATAGTATTTTTTAAAATTATATTTTACAAATAGCAAATGAATTAAGGAAGCAGATCGTAAAAAAATCAATAAATAAATAAACAAACATAAACAAAAACAATACCACTTTACCGAAATGTTTGTTAATTTCTAATCAATTAAGGGATAAGAAAAATTGAGATATATTTTTAAGAGGGTTTGGCATGACAAAATACTTCAGGACATTTAAAATGCATGAGAAAATAAAATACTTTTGGACTATTTTTAAAAATTTAAAGGAAAATAATCATGCAATTTCAGGATAATGACAATATGGGGGCCAGTTCGTTTACATGAAGTAAAATAAGAGTTCTTCTTGTCGGAATATAATTGACAAACTGGACACATCCTATTGAATACCAAGGAAATCTCAAACTTCTTTACTGATTGATAAATATATTGAACGTTGATGACAATTTGCCAAGTAATTCCAATCTTCTTGCCGGATTGATTTGAAAAACTGTTCCTATAATCTGTTATTAATTGCATGTATGTTTTATTTGTATAATAAAGATATTTATCTTTTCGCACGTTTTACTTAAATTTGTCAATTGTATAAAATAGGTTCATAATATTTAATTTCTATTCACATCAGTATTTCTTGAATTCAAGTAATATTCTGTACTAGTGGGCTGTGCCCCCTGCTTGCTAACACTCGCCAACCCTCAAAAACTGCTACGCAATCTTATATGGTTTGCTTCGCAAACCAAGCTCGCTTCGCTCGCTACTAACTTAGGGGCATTGCAAATGCATAAAATTTTAAGAATTCAAAACAATCATTCAAATCCATGTAACAACTTTTTTTTTTTAAAAAAAATTACATCTTTTTAGTAAATACTAAGTCATTAAAATAAATTTAAATTCAAGTAAATGACATGTGAATTACATTATATATTAGAAATGTGCTATAGTATAAAATCATAAGATAAAATTTCTAAAACTGATATCTCTTTAAAAAGGTTAAAATTTTGGCTATAATTAAGTCTATTAAGAATTGAAATAAGTGAATTGCAATGGAAAAACCTGCATAAACAAAACATCGAATTTCGGAAGAAATCTCATTTGGTGAGAATGCTCTCTCTTGTCAAAAAATACAAAATAAACTGACCTCAAATAAAACTCCAAGGACTTCGAATCAAATAATTAAGGAAACTACTATCACGTTTAATATAAAAGGAAGATTTATTAACTAAACAATAAAATTACAGCATCGCAGTTCCAAAAAACAAATCTCACACTCACTCAAAAAAACAATTTACCTTCTAATTAGTCACCATAGCAACCACAAAACTCTTCTCGTTACCATCTATAAACTGATATATAATAAATAAATTATTTAACAAAAAATACAATGCGCATAAGCACATAATATTTTGCACTCTGGTTATTTCAGTTTCCGTTTTTAGAAGCGCTATATGTTGAGCCACATAATCTAGATTTGGCATGTGACATTTTTAGCGGCAATCATTGGTTGATTTTCTAGCGTTGCTATTCGGGGAGTTGTAATGAGGTTTTTTTTTAATGCTGTGTAAGAGAAATATATATATAGATGCGCTGCGTGTATATTTAACTAACAAACTAGTTGTAGTTTAAGAAATAATGCATATATGCATCATAAGTATGATTCTTACTTTGGATTGTAAAGGTAACTTTACTGATTCTAATATGTATCATATATAACAGTTATTTTAAATTTTAAAGTTACTGACTGACAAACATGATAGCGTCTACAAGTAGTGTAAAAGAATATTTAATGTGTTTCACTATCTCAGGAACCATCCATGGTTTTGGCGTCGTGGAACATTTAGTGACCACCACTTTTATGTAAAGTAGTTGCTACCATTTTTAGTGTTAAGATACACGAAAAATTGTTTACAGTGTTTTTTACAGTTAATGGTGGAGCGAGAATCTAGTGGTAGTAGCGATAGTAACAAGGATAATTTTGCCACATTTTTCGAGAGCTAATAAAATTAAATTTAAAAAAAAATAAAATAAAATCTTTTAATTTTGTTTTTTTATGACACAGAATCATTAAATTAAAGCTGCTTCAAATAAAAAATATTCACATATTACAAAATGTTTGATAGAAAAATTCCATACATACTTTATTTAAACTGATGCTATTAACGAAAATCATTGATTCACAAAACAGAAAAGAAGTCAAAAATTACCTTTTTGATGGAATGATATGTATAAGGTGTATATTACAGTTTTCCGGAAAATGTAAAGTAAATAAATAAAAAATGGTTGGCGAAAATAAAGGATAAGTACGCTAATTATTGCTTTAAATATTATCAACGATGTATATTTATATTAATTTTGCTTTAAGGATTTCATAGAGTAATTAAGTTGAAATATTTCATGCATTTAATAACAATTTTCTAAAAAATGAACATGGGGAAAAAAAGAAGGAAATATGAAGGAATTTTCGCTGATAAATGATTTTATAGCACCTTGTACAAAATGAGACAAAGACCTACAATAGCAAAATTATAATGGCAGAAATTTTCGAGTCTAAGTTAGATTTTAGTTATTTATTTTTATCAAATACCTTTTTTGACGTAGGGGCAATAATGCGTCTTAAAAAGCTATCAATAAAAATTACTCGATTTCTCTTGAGAAAGATGTTAGTTTCAGTGTTTTTTATTTAATTAATAATTAGTATTAATTATTAATTTAATCATATTCTTAAAATGGCTCATTTTCCTCTAATAAAGATACAAGTTATTCTTGGACCACAGATGATGAATTATTTGGTTTTGGTGAAAATTTTAAAAAAGTAGTATTTGGAGCAGTGATTAGATAACACTCCGTGTCAAAAAAATAAGCAAATAATATTGCTCCTAAAAGATGCAGCTAGTTATGCAATGCAATGCAAAGTTGTGTATTACTATTTCACAATAGCATCTTTCAAGATATCCTGAATTTCTTTGCAGAATACTCAGTGTATCAGAAATAAAATACATGAAAAACTAAATGAGCTGTGTGAATATTGAAGTTTCAATAAAAGTCTCCAAGTCAAAATAAACTGATATGCATAACTATTCCTCAAAATTTGTGAAGCACGAAAATTTAAAAGTATGATAAGGGCAAAAACATGAAATAACATGCTCTTTTCTCAACTACTTCAACTAAAGATACGGCTCTCTTTTAAACAGAAACTTGTCCACAATTGTCGTCTTAACAAAGAAATCAATGCATTTTAAAGAAAAAAAATGAAAAACTAGCCCACATATAATATTTTAAGAAACACCAAGGGCAGTTTACACCCCCACAATGACGTCGTCATGTTGGACGATTCACTATTGGTTAGAGAGAGCTGGAGAACGAGCCAATCCGAAAGCTTGAAGAGCTGAGATAAAATACTTTTCTAGAGCAGTTTTGGATACACAGATTCTCTAGCTTGGGCATCGGTTCATGATTTGAGATTCCTTTTCCCAGATTGATTGAAATCTGAAACAACAAGTTGTTAAGCTGATCTGAAACATCTATTTTATTGATCTCTATCTGCCAGGCAGAGTAAGTGGTGAATTTAAAAACATTCACTTTTTGAATATCTATATTTTTTTCATTTGTAATTATTTACTTTAATAAATTTATATAATATTTTTTTTAAATAATTAAAAAACAATTATACATTAAAGTCAATTGTGATGTTTAATTTTTTAATGTAGTATCTTATTATTGCATTTTTTTAAAAATAAGTTTTAAAAAGCAAAAATAATTAAAAAATCAACTACTAAGGAATTCGTTTTAAATCTATGCTAATTTAAAAAATTAATTTATGTAACCATTATCATAAATTGAATTTGAAACAACAAAATATTTAACTGATATGAAAAAAAGTTTGTTTAGTTAATACGATATATATTTTATCCATCAGTGGCTGCTAGACAGTGTAAGCATGAACAGTAAAACAAATTATTGATTTGTTTGAATTTCTCTTCTAATGTTTTGCAATTTCTGCTATAAAAATTGAGTTATCCATTAATTCTAAATAAGGTAAATAAATAAATTATTTTAATTATTATTAACAACAAAAATGAAAAAAAAATTATAATTTATTTTAGCAGTTTAATGCTATAATATGTTGTTAAATGCAAAATTGGAGGAAGAACTTCACTCAGTTTTAAAATTGTTGTTTCAATTTATGTGACTTAATTTGTTTTCTTTTAAATAAGAATTTTTGTAAATTAAATGACAAACAAGTAAGGCAATTACAACTCAAAAAGATTTTTAAAAAAAACTGGAATCGACAGGCTTAAATATATATAGAAAAAGCAATAAAAAATCACAAATTACTCTCTTAAAATGTTATGAATTAAATCTAAAACATTTGATTCTTACTGCATGGTGGGGAAAAACATTAATGTTTAATTTTTTGAGCAATTTATTTAGATAAATAGTTTATTTTTTAAATTTTATTTTAAAAATACAAAACTGGTGATTAAATTTTATTCCAACACTTATATGAATTAGTAACTTTTTAAAATAAAAATTTTTATAAATTAAATATTAAAATGACTTACTTAAAATACTTAAAATAAAATTTATTCTTATCATATATCTGTACTAGATTAATTAAGAAAAATGCTTAAAAAGTATTAATTTACTTTGTCATAAATATTTAATTTATTTTACCTTATTGTTACAAATTTGTTTAATGGAACGAGCTTTGTAATAAATTACAAGTAGGAAATAATTTTATTCAAGAAAAAACTTGTGGATTAAGTTTGGGGTATTTGAGTTAATGAATAATATTGGTAACATATTTTTTTAATTAAATATGCAACAAACAAATGTATCTGGAACAAGTTAGGAAAAGTCTGGAGCATGACTTGACTTATCTCTCTCGAGTAAATCTTATGACTTTAATTAAACAAAGTTAATTATTGAAACTAATTAAAAAATAAAAGATAAGAATGCCCACATTTCAATATTAACAATTATTGAAATTTAGCTGTAGACGTTATATAAACTGACGAACGTATAAATCGTTGTTCATTCAAACTGAATTAATTTATCAATTTCAATAATTTTATGTATAAGTTTTGATTTTAGTTTTTATATCCAGCAGTTAACTTTAAAAAGCATACAATTTCATGAAGATATTTATATGATAGAACAAATTATAACAAAGGCATAAATGCTGCAATTAATTGGGATAATTTTTATTATGAAACTGTTTCATAAATCAATATAAAACACTTTTTATTTTATTTTAGATGTAAAGTGATTTCGAATAAAGTAAAACTGTTATATTTGTAAGAAATGTCATTATGTCCGAATGACCATTCATCTTAATGATGTTTGTAAATTGGTGAATCATGTTTGGTGAATCATGAGGGATATTATACAATAGTAATTGGTTTTCAGACTATTTTTTTAAAATAAGGCCAGTAATCGAATTTGAAAAGTAATGAATAGCCGAAAGCTATTCATTAAGAGACAATTTTTTTCGACTCCAGAATGAGGTGCACCCTTTTGTCTTTCTAAGCGCTTTGTTCTGAATATCCTCCAACTCAACTTTGACGGCTCGTTTTTCTACGGTTACCGCTTACCCTTTCTTCCTTATTTTCAAGTGCATCCAATTGAGTCACGACATATGTTGGCGTCATATATCCAATAGAGTCTCGATATATACACATTTTCTACACTTACCGCTTACACTTTCGTCCTTATTTTTACGTGCTTACAATTGATGCCTGATATATGTTGGCGTCATACATCCAAAGAGTCGAAAATATGTTGTCGTAATGGATTCGAAAGAGTCTAATATATGTTGGCGTGATGGAACCAACAGAGTCTCAATGTATGTTGGCGTGATGCATCCAACAAAATTTCAAAATATGTTGCCTTGATGCATCTAATAGAGTTTCAATGTATGTTGGCGTAACGCATCTAATAGAGTCTCAATATACGTATATTTTTCTACACTTACCGCGTACCCTTCCTTCCTTATTTTCACATGCTTGCAGCTGAATCACAACATATTTTGGCTTCATGCATTCAAAAGTGTCTAAAATATGTTGACGTAATGGATCTAAAAGAGTCTGATATACGTTGGCGTGATGGAACAAACAGAGTCTCAAAGTATGTTTACGTGATGCATCCAATAAAGTCTCAGTATATGTTGACTTGATGCATACAATACAGTTTCAATATATGTTAGCGTGATATTGCGGTGTTATTTCGGATCCTGAAAATCCATGCAATTTTTGCATTATTTACAAATAGCTTAATTATGAAAAAGGCCTAAATATATAAATTAATATTTCCTTCTGGTATCTTTTCTTCAAAAACAGCCTGATTTATAAAAATAAATTAAAAAATAGTAGACAGAAAGAGCTAAAATGAATTCTAAAAACCAATTGTGAAAATGTAATTTTAAATTTGTGGGACTAAACGAATATCATAAATAGCAATCCTTATTTATAGAAAAGAAAAAACTCTTTATTCCAACTTTTATTACTCGATTAACGATTGGATAAGAGATACCCCTATTTCCCAGAAAGCTTTTGGTGTCCGTTTTTGGAAGATTCAACTCATTCTAATAGTTTTAACTCATTGTAAAACTTAATGTTTAAATTTTGATCTGTATTTAAAATTGCTGAAATAAGATAAAACCATGTAAAAATCTGATGAAGAAAATTAAATTTCTAAAAAAAAAAAAATTAATAAAATAAAAAAAGACAGATGCAGCATGATATTCCGACCATAAAATTATTTTTAATTTAATAATTTTATATTTGATATATTTCATTGATTAAGACAAATGATTGGTTAAATAGATTTAATTATATTTCATCATAACTTATATTACACACTTTAGAAAATTTTGAATTACGTTGAACCACATTCAATAGCTGCAACCTTAATACAAAGCCAAATTGAATCCTAATATGAAAAGCAGGGGAGTCATCTCCACTACAGAGAATGGAAATTATGATAGCACGTCTTCTGATCATCCTCAGGGATGTTTCCCAGGCCGACGCAGATAGCCTGTTGCTCACCTGTAGTGCGACGTAAATGAAGTACTACATTCGAATCTCTCGGGAGTGACCATTCTCTGTTCCGCAGTAAAATGAACGTCAATGAAGGTTGCTTGCTCTTAGAGGTTTCCTCTATTTACTTCAAATTGTTATCGAAAGTATATGATTTTTCGCAAACGATTTTAATTTTACTCAGTGTCATTTTCTTCATGAGGAAATTCCACTTGTGTTGACATCATGAAAACCGGATCGATGGATAAAATTTAGCTTCAATAAAAATGACCCCTACCAATATAATTATGTGTTAAAGCAAATTTTCCAATTAAAAATGATGCAACCATTTTAAATGAATAAACAATTATGTTTCTTTTATTTAACTTTAGATTATTTTTATAATATAAAAATTAGTTTACGTTAAAAAAATGAGAAGTTTGTTTGTTTAAGATGCTTAGTTTTTCTAAAACAACTTTTTTTTCAAATTCAGATTTTAACTCTAAAATTAAATCATTCATAGCATCGTCTTTAGTGCCCTCTGATTGTAACAACAGATTGTCAATATTTTTCAGCAATTCTTAAAAAGAGATTTCTAAATAAGAACAAGTCGCAAATATTTTGAAGACACTTGAATCTACTTATTTTCTTTGTTAATATTTTTAATTTCGATATTTTTTCATCTTTCCTTATATAACCTTTTCCGTAATTGGTGGGGAGGTTTGCCCGTTCACTGGGAGAATTTTCTGTGGTCTTTTCTAAAAGTTTTCTTCAATATAAGGTCAGTGGAAAAAATTCCGCGCCTCCCAAAATTTTTCGTAAATAGAGGAGATCGCTGCATAAAGGTGATCTTTCCGGGAGGTTTTTCTGTATTACTATTACTGAACCATATTACTGCAAAAGTTTTAAAAAAAAATCTTACTTCATATTATTTATTTCCAATGAGCTGCACAAGACCTAGTGCTTTCTCCAGAAGTGGTATCCACTTTTTCAGGACCACCACAATGGGTGAGATACCACTGGCCATGCTAATTTGGACGTCTAGTTTCTGCCACACTAGATGGCAGCACAGAGACTCTTATTTGAATGTCAAAGTGCACTAGGAATTTAATTTTGCCGGAAATGCCAAGAGCCAATAAGGCACTTCAGGGATCTTTTACATACCGCATAATCATACGACATAGCCGCTGAGGATTTTCTACATCCCGAAAATCCGGTGTCTGGACCGAGGATCGAACTCGCAGACTTGGGCTCAGAAGGCCGACGACAAACCAACTGCGCCACCCAGACACTTACTACATATTATTATACGACATAAATGAAATAAAGAAATATGGCACAACATAATAGGGTACCAATTAAACACAAATGTGGCTCATCTCAACACCATATTAACGTTACGGAAATTTGCACGGTATTAGTGAGACTGCGAAGTCCAAGGTTTTCCCAAGCTCTATCGCTAATGTTATCTGAACATCACAGCGCGTGCGTGAAAATTTCACTACGAATTCCAGTTGGGTACAAGAAAGAAAGCAA